TTATTTATAATCAAAATTTTTATTTATATATGTAAGTTAATTTAAACGGGATGTAAACATTTTGGGAATTGTAGGGACTATGGGAGATTTCAGTCTTCTATCGCATCCGGTACTTCCAGTAGGGGAGGTATGAGTGGGAGTCAGWCGCATATCCCCGASASTAGCTTTCCGGATCCCMMACACYCDTCYCCTCCTATGGGTACACAGCCCTCWGCTSCCACGGCCATGAGCATTGAGGAGTTTGTATCGCAACCCGGACGGGATAGGTTGCCTCGCCTAGATCCTGACTTGGGACCGAACACGACCTGGTATGTTTTATTTAAAAATTGATTTGATTATATTAAGTTAATAAAATATTTAACTAAATATTGTTTAGGTTTCAATATTCGGGAAACGGAATTACGAGTTCGATCAACGCAATGACGAATTCGTTGATAACTAAACCGTATCCCACATTTAGTTCGATGCCGGTGGCAGACCAGGAGACATGGTTTCGTCAATTTGCGGTATGTTTTTTTTTTATCAATTAAGAATGTAGATTTTTATTTCTATTCAAATTAACAATACTAATCTTGGAACGTATTTTTTTCAGTAAGACTTTACCTGGGACCCACAGCTGACTTCCCAGGTCCGACGCCAATTCCAGAAAAAGGCGTCCCGAAAGTACTCGTTGAAGATAAACGAGTGGAAGGACATGTGGTACAAAGAAGGGAAGGTGCCGAAGAGAATGCAAGATAACCCAACCTTATGGGGTGGACTACTTGCACATTGGGAACGAGAGGACACAAAAGTAAGCTCCGGGAAAAACTCGTCTAACCGGAACAGCGAYCGGAAGGGGAAGGGACCGGCGACCCATAACCTTGGCGCAACGAGCAAAGCGACACGTCTCCAGAAGCTGGTAAGTTTATAAATTTTTCAAAATTTTATTTATAACACTTCTCATATTTCCTTCATTATCTATGCCAACAGATTGAGAAGACCGGTGTTCGTCCGTCACATCTTGAGTTGGTTGATATG